TCTCCCAAGTCGTTGAAAGTATGGATATTGATGTTGTCCAAAATCATATACTACTTCAACGCAGCACCAGTCAAACTATCTTGAAAAAAATGAATTAGCAGACCTTGATCATCAGTAAGGGTAGACATTCTTCTTACATACATCACAATATGATCACGAGGACAAGTGTTTCCCTTGTACTTCTCGAATTCCGAGAGTTTAAACTTCGCAGGTATCTTGACATTCGGGACCAAGCATAAATCATTCATTATCCCGAACAATTCCTTTCCCCTGAGGGCCTTCATCTCCCTATACATCTTGTCAAACTGATCTTGAAAATCATCCATTCTATCATAGAGATCCAAGCCTTCACTTTGTGGAGGAAAAGGATGATACATATCATCATTAGCAAACGAAACCATATTCACCGAAGGAGGTGCAACAGAAGTAGCATGCACCACAGGAGGTGCAGGAGTAACAGTAGTCTGAACAAATGGAGTAACTTGAGGATCAAGATTGAAACCTTCAGACACAAAGTTCTCTGGCATTCCCCATGGATAACCTTTAGGCATGCGATTCTGAACCACAGATGGAGTAACAGACACGGGAACTGTTAGAGCTTCAGTAGTAACCCTTGTCTGTTGAGGCTGAACACTCAGTGGCTGATTCTGAGCAGACACCAGAGATTCCATCAGAGCAGTTAGATTGTCCACACCAGCCTTCAGAGCAGAAACTTCATTGCGCAGCTCACGATTCTCTTGTTCTAAGTTGTCCATCTTCCTTTTGAAATTAGCTCGAGTATTGTAGTGGTGAGACAGCTTGCTGGACGAAGTAAAGAAGCTTGGTAAGACACCTGGATATGCATAATAAATGCAATAAATATGTGCAATATGATGCATGATATGTAATGCACATGATTTATTTTATTAATATTTCAAGGGACTTAAAGATTTATAGACACATTGCAAATATCAAAGTAATAACACATTTGAAATACTGGAAAAAAATTATTATAATAACTTCAAAATGGATTACAAGTTTCAATAATCCCAAGTACAAGATGAAAATAAAGTCTAAAACCCTAAGAAGTAAAGCTGGTGGAGATCACTTTATACGCTGACGCTTCCCTGTAAGCCTGGAAATCTGAGCCTTCAACCTCTGGTTTTCTTCCGCATATTTGGTGAAAACCTCCTTCCAATCACCTGAAACATGAAGTGAGCAACTAGCATCTGACTGAGGCTTAGAGGAAAATAAATCCCCTTGCCTTTCCATCATCTCTACAGCCAGACTCTCAAGAATCCCAATCAAGTCATCTTTCTCCTTCAAGTCTGCTCTATAGGAAATCTCTAAAGTTTGGCACTTATTCTTCCAAGCATCCTTTTCCTGCTGCATCCTGACCAAAGCAAGTTGTATCTCTTCCACATCATCCAATAATGGAAGAGTGGTCTTCACAAACAAATAAGGCATATGTGCTTCTCGGGAATACGGCATCTTCAACTGAATAGCTCTCGTTTGGACCCACTGAAGATAAGGCTCTAAAGAAACAGCCCCCCTAGGTCCCAAGTCTTTCCTACTCTTCCTATAAATGTGACGTCAGGCCTTCGTAATCTGCTCCCTAGCTTCCTTATGGTCTTCTCCCTCCTTCAGGAATAAACTACTCAAATGAATACTATTTGGTTTATCCCTCATCAGATAACCAAGCTATCATCGTGCAAGAATAGTGTTGTAGTTAATTCCTCCCTTTATGCCAAGAAGAGGCACGTTGGGGAAACTACCACAACTATCGACAATCTCTACATCATGGTAAGCCCGATGATACCAATCAATATCTGAGTGAGTAAGTGCCATGATCTTAGGAGCCCAACGGGGTTCCTTCCTGACATCCCAAAAAGCATTAGACTGAGGCACATGAGAAGTAAATCATCGGTACAACATAGGCGTGCAACAGATAATCATCCCCCCATGATACGAATTCCGAAGATGAATAGAGTAATAAGTATCACCCAACAATGTAGGAACTGGGTTTCCAATCATAAAGATCCTGATAGCATTAATGTCAACAAACTTCTCCTCATTAGGAAATAAGAACAACCTGTAAGCAACTTGAGCAAAGATGGCCTCAAAAGCGATTGTACTCTTCATCCTGGCAAAGTAACGAGCTCTCTCCAATAAGAACTGAGTTGGTAATCCTTTAATCCCTCCTTTAGTAGTCATATGGGCTTCAACTTCAGACTTCCACAGATGGATCAAAGCAGCAATCTCGTGTGGTTTTGGCTCACCCTCCAAACAAGTAAAAGGAACACGATCGGTAATAGGTAAATCCAACAGATAAGAATACTCCTCTAGTGTAGGCATCAACTGATAGTCAGGTAAAGTAAAGCAATGATACATCGGATCATAGAACTGGACCAAGGTCGAGAGAATACCCTCCTTCATCCTAAGCTTCATGAGAGGAATGATGGATCTATACTTCTTCTAAAAATCTGCAGAACACTCAATCTCGGGAATTAGACTGATCAACTCATCTATCTTGGGATCTTTGAAACTGTATTTTCCGGTCTTTCTTTTTCCAGAATCCATGGTCAAAAAGTACTTGAGATATTCACAAATGGTCAACTTTCAAGTCCTTTGAAATAAAATTTCTTCAAAAGATGCTTATGAGTGCATGGATGCATGATGCAACAATTACACACAAGATCACAAACATAGGGTTCATAGGTTCAACGTCACGAGCATGAGGTCGAAGGTACTACCCATAAGGTATGGTCTAAAAGTTATCATCTGCCTAACAAGGTTCTAGAGGTTCCCAGAGTCTACATCCTTCCTTCGGATATTACCAACTTCCCGATTGACTCGGTAATTAGTAATATTCTCAAGAAAAACTCGTCTGAGCGTAGTATCGCGTGATAACTATATCGGATTACTTTGTCATAGCTTCCGCACTACACCTAAAAGGCCAAGATGGGTTAGGTAATCTACGGTCCTCAGCTTCAGCAGGCTCCCAGGTCGAAAGCAGTATGTCTTCCAGATTACTCGGTAAACGACACTACAGTCAAAGGGGCCTCCACTGAGTGGGGAATCTCATGCCTCATTTTTTGGGATTACTCCCTCAAAGTTAACATGACTATACCGCACGTGCTATCTTAAAGTTTGCCCAAGTGCGGGTATAGGACTTATAAGTAATCACCAAGCACTCTGAAAACCAGGAAAATCCAGATAAACATATATAAAACATATAACACATAAACAATAATAGCACATATACAGATATAAACAAATATAGGTTTAACCCACTTAGGGATGTGTTATACCCCAATTTTTTTCCCTAAGATCCCTCACCATACTCTATACATCTCACACATAGCATTGATCTCATGGTTATAAGATCGAAGAGTTGTGGCATTAGGGTTTCTCTCTCTGAATTGAGGTTGTTGTCTTACTCAAAATTGATTCAACTGGTGCTCTCATTATTCTAAGTATGTGATTAGGTTTTTTGGATTTCAAGCAGCATAAATGTATTTACTGTCCGGTTTCCTCAAGATACAAATTTTTTATTCATCAGAGTTCTTTCAAGGAACAAAGGCATTAGGGTTTAACTCAGCCAGAGAATCAGGATTTCTCTCCCTTTTATTTGAGCTTGGTAGTGATTCTTCTGTGGAGGTTTATTGAGTTAAAGTCTCACTTCAAGGCTACATCGAGCACTACTCTTCCCTTATTGCGAGTTCACATCATCAATTAGGGTGTATCCTAATCGTTATATCTCAAGAATTTCCTCTCAAGAAGTTTAGAAGATTTAGTCAAGGACTTAGTTCTTTTAATGTTATTTGTTAAATGGTTAAGGAATGTTGAGGCTTTCACCAAGGCAAGATGTCCTTCATTATTCAGTTACGGATTTGAATTCCATCAACCTTTTAGACGTGATGAGATTTATTCTTGAATTTTTGACCCAATTGAAGATTAAGGATCATTAAAATTAGGGTTTGCATGGTCATATGTTCCTTTTCTATGCTCTAAGTACCATTCATCTTCTAATATTCAAGACATGTTTTTTTCATATTAGATTAAAGTATGAGTACAAGGGTTCGAGATGAGCATGTGGATTTATTCGAATCAAGACATTTTGTGCCTGTAACGCAAGAACATGGTCGCCTGAGTTTATTCAAGAAATGGGGAAATTTGGATTCATCGTTTGTTCATTCAAGTCTCTTAAAGGTGCTCAAATGAATCAGAAGCGTTTAATGCTTGCGAAGTTGGAAAAGGAAATTTATTATTTTAAAGTGAAATTACAAGTTACTCTCAAAAGCTTCATACAAGATTCCCAATTTGAAAATTTGAAAAAATGATGTAGGGATTTATATGTGAAGAGAATAGAATTTGTAACCAAATTTTGTTCATAAATGTTTCAAATTACAGTCAACTATCTAAATAGATCTCTTTACATGATATAAAGAAAAAGAATTTTGGAACTCCTAAGTCTTAAAATTGTAGACTATCCCTTGATTTCCTTAGCCAAATCTCAGTGTTCACAAGAAGCTTGCATCAAGATCATATTGAGCTGCCTTGCTAAAGTTGTATCCTTAAAACCTGTATAAATATCATCATTATGCACACAAAAAAATCACTGTCAAGACAGGTCAAACAATATATACAGGTCTGCAGTAACTAAAAAGGGAGCATTCTTTTGGAGCATGTGTTAAACTCATAAACAGGGCTCACCTAATTTCTACAATACCAAACCAGATAAACCAATTTCAAGCTAGCAAAGACTTACCCTATATCAAGCTAATTCGCGGATTCTATTGATGCCAAGGCATGTTCCATGAAATAATCCAAAAGTCAGATGAAACTGAGAATGAGAATGGAGATGTAAATCGCGCTGTTATGTTGTGTTTGCAGAAGAGAATCAAAAGGTGAATGGATGCAATACTGAGATTGGTTATGTGAGTTTTTCCAATCTCTGAGTATAAGTTTTTCCATGCCAAGAAATCACCCTTTCTAGCAGTTTCAGCTTCTCAACAGGATCAACCATTGTCCAGTTTGTCTTCAATGAAATATGTGCAGGATCTTGCTGTGGAACCGGCAAAGCCAACATCGTTGCCTTTATGCTTCAATCTGAAACCTATTCGTATATCGTATATTGAACCTGTATGTTGACAAACAAGAGTTCAACAAAATAAGGGTTTGAAGCAAAATAGAAGAATAAAAGCGGATGAAATTTTTTTTTGAATATGAAACCAGAAGTCAGAAAATAGCAGGACGCAAGTTGAGTGCGAAATGAAAGCAATAAAAAGAAGGGAAATCAGGAAGATTTACTAACACTTAAGATATCATAGAGTTCCCAAAACAAACTGATATAACAGAAATTTACCAGCTCATCAAAAGATAACTAACTCTCCAACACTTCTAACCGTTTCCTAACTATTTGTTAACAACAATAACAGAATGGCCAGGTTTTTTGTAACAGAATAGAGGAGTTCATAACAGAATGGCCAGGTTTTTCGTAATAGAATAGAGGAGTTCATAATAGAATGGACTAGTTTTTCGTAACATAATAGAGGAGTTCATAACTGAATGGCTAGAGGTTTTGTAACATAATGGATAGAGGTTTTGTAAGAGAATGGCGAGAGATTTTGTAACAGAATTGGGGAGGCTAACAGATTGAAAACAGAATAAAAGACAGAATAGTAACAGAATTGAGGGAGGGTACTCACCTTTCAACTATCTCTTGGAGGTTCCATCTTGAAGGCTCACTCTCTCTCTCTCTTCCACACTTCAATCTTCAACAGATAACCAAAAATTTCTCACTCTCTCTACTCCCTTTTGGAACTTTCCACAATTCTTCAATCTTCAGAAGAATCATTAGAAAACTCCACAATGATCCTCTCTACTTTCTGGCTCTGAAATGGATACAACGTCATCTTCTACACTCTTCTATGCACCTTCTCTACAATAATCTTCATCTGCTTGAACCTCCAGCATTGAATTGCAAACACCTTCACTGATTCTATAACCTGCATCAGAATTGCACAGAATCCATGATTTCATTGTCATCTACGTATCAATGATCAACGCGTCAGTATCATCTACGGTTTGCTTTAATCGTTAATGTTATCTTGCTGCGATAAGCTTTAATTTGATGCAAGAATCTCAGTCAGTCTCTAAAAATTCATCGTATCAGTGATTATGCAACTACTTCAATCATCATCTCCATCGATGTTCTACAACATCATTTCGAATCTGCAACAACAATTGGTAGAAGTGAAAATGAAAATAGAGAAAAGAAGAAGTAAATATTGAATGCAAGGTCAGAAAACATACAGAGCTTTTTCTTTATTTTTCACCTTCGTCACCATCGAAGAGCCACCGAAGTTCTCTGGTAGGTAAGGCTCAAAATACTTTATTGTTTCCACTTCTCTGAGCGTATAGATCTGTTGTTGTTCATTCCTGTTTTGGATTTTTTTCAACTTTGAAACCTTGAATCTCGAGACGTAAACGAATATGTCGTGAGGCTGATACTGATATGTTTGAGACTGAATCGCATCGGCAAAGACGAATGAAGCGAATCAGAACAAAGAAGATGATGTAGCGAGACTATGAAGATGACGGAGAAGAGTGAGACGGAGGAAAACAGTTGAGAATCGGTGGGGTCTTGATCAGAGTCAGAGGAGGATGGCGAGGTAATCGATCAGAGACGGTGGTAAGGGAAAAGAAATTGCGCTATTCATGTTCGAGATGGAAAGGGTGGATGAAAAGTCCTAATTCCCAACCCTAACTCGGTTCACAGTAGCATCGTGTCATCATACTCTCATCTCATTCAATTTTATTATTTTGTTTCTTTTTCTTTAGCTTAATGATGGTGTTGTATAATTAATAATGCTGAAAAGGAATAAATGTTAGAGTGGGCTGAACCGAAAGCCCCCCTAAGCCCATCACCATTTTTTTGAAAGCTTCTACCTTGCCAAAAAAACTGAACTGCCCGGGCTTCATTCAGCAGGCCTCATGTCTATGCACCTCCATCCCATTTAACACCCCCTGACCAATTATATTTCCTATGTTTTCTAGATTTTGTTTAAGTTTTAGCTTAAATTCCTTTTATAATAAAAGTAGTAGCAAAGTACATTAAAAAAACAATAAAAAATATAGATTTTTAGGATTACCTCTTCTTTTTTAGGGTAATAAATTACAAAAACCAATAAGAATTTGTTATATTTTTTTTATTTGATTTTAGGAAATTAATCCCTAATGTTTTCGATTACTTGAAAATTGCGATTCACCTTTGCATGTTGAGTTGACTCTTATGCAGGTTCATGGTTTGATATGCGGATGTGTTTGGATTCCGATTGTGATTTATTTTCACATTGATGAAGCTTCGACACCTATTCCAAATATTCGATCTCTGACTGTTTGTTTGTTGATGCCAGCTCGTGCGAAGCATTTCGAGTCTCTCTTCTTTGGTTGTGCTTTTTGCGGACTTTATTGTTCTTTTGGTATTATATTGCTTCCAAGTTATACTTCCGCATTTATTGTTTTCTAGATATCATGAGAAGTAGGAAATAAAGAGCGGGCGCCCGAAGTCGCTGTTTAAAGACCTGTAGCAGACATTCCACACTTCATTTCTTATATGTGTTGTGCTTGTGTTTGTTCCATTTCTTATGGATCGATGAGTCACTCAATTTAGCAATTGAGATCACGACTTCGCTCTCAGTGCATGCTCCCTATAGGATTTTATCGCTTTCCTTTATTTCTTGTTGATCGATGAGTCACTCAATTTAGAAATTGAGATCACAACTTCGCTCTCAGTGCATTTTCCCTATAGGATAGTTTGTTAGACTTTCTTTGGCATGCTAACTTAGATAGGATCCCTCATTGTATGATGACATTAGGTTAGAGATAGGTTAGTCTCCCTTGGATGTTTTCTTCCCTTTTTTTTTTGCATAACTTCACTTAGAACTAAAACTTATTTTTCTGGGCAAATGTATAAAAAATGCTAAGCATACAAAAAATTCTTTTCATGGTAAAAAATACCAACCAATCCATTTCTTTTCGCCATCCGACTTTTCTCTTCTAAGAGCATGTTAGTTCCTTTCCACTACAGGTCATAAGTCTCCAAATGTCAAGCAGCAATGGAATGATCGAATGCAACATTGTTCATTTAAAAAATACAAACAAACAAAATATATGAGCCGAACTAAGGCGCTCTGATTCCTTAAAGGGGATACGTAGGCATCTGGTCATGGGGCTCAGCCGAGCGAAAGTTTGTAAATATTTCCTTCTTTTCCCCGTGTTTTCTTCGCATGCATTCCCTCTTAGTTTATAACCCTTAAGCATTAGATCAAACACACCCTTTGATTAGAATAACGAGAGTGGATCCCGTAGAGTACTATGGACGTGTGGGGTGCTAATACCTTCCCCTCGCGTAATCGACTCCCTTACCTAATCTCTCGGTCGCAAGACCTTGATTTCCCCTTTAGGTTTTTCTTCGATGATTTTCCTTTCCCTTTTATGGGATAAATAAATACTCGGTGGAGACTTCATTGATTTTACTGCTACAGGATGGACCAGCAGGAGGTCAATTTGTCCCCAGTGAAGTCGTCATTTTTCTATAGCGGTAGAAATATTTAATACTAAGCCATTGTATTGACTAGATTTATACAGATCAAAAATAAAAATCGCCACTGCGCTTTATTGTTTCCAAAGGAATGAGAAAAGAGCGAGTAACCCAAAAAGTGGGGGGAAGATTCTAGGTAAGGGGGTTGGTTATGCAAAGGGAAGGTATTAGCACCCTAAATATCTACGGTACTCCGCAGGAACCTCTTTGAAAAAATCTTTATATTTTGGCTATAAAATGTTGTGTATAAAATAGATGGTGGAGGTGAGAAAAGAAAAAAAATTATGATTTTTGCACCCGCCGCGGTTGTGAACCTTTAGTGCCTACATACCACCTTTCGTGCAATAGGGGATCAGGGTACACATAATTCCTCTTCAAAAAAAATTAAAACACAAGTGTGTTGGTTGATTTTAAGAGATAGGGCATCATCGTCATTGTCCATGTGGAAAACATACTTACTACCCACTAATATGAGAAATGAGAATTTGCATCATCTCAAAATGGAGGATATGGCTTGTATTTTAAAATCAACAATGCCTCGCCAAACTCCCAAGTGGAAAATATCTCTCTTCACTATATATTGTAGAAGTATAGTTGTTTGCATCACTACAAGAATTGACAAGAGTCTAATCTTTTGAGAAAAGTTTTTAAAGTAAAAGGTCCAAAGTGGAAAAATGGTTTGAAATGAGATTGATTGACATTTAATCTTCTCACAAAAAAATGTCAAGGTATTATTAAATTGATTGAAGCTTATTTATGAGAAGGTTTTGAAAATGCATGGACCTAAATCCAAGTTTATTATGAAAGTGGTTCAAGTTTCAAAACAAGAAGAGTTTTCAAAAAGAGGAAGAAGATTTTTGAAGTTGAAGAAGATGGGAGGAGATGAGGAGACTATCCTAAAGCATAAGATAAAAGATAGGGATAAGAACCATCAAACCAACAAGAAGCCAATACTTGACATTATGAGTCAAGATGGAATTCCCATTCTTTGGATTGAAACCAAGCAAGTAAAGATACTAGACCTCTTGAGAGAACCCAAACTTCAAGTGTATTAAGTCTTCACAAAAATTGGGCAGAGTAACGGATGTATACGGGTGAATTCCAGATTACAAACAAAGAATGTAATCACAATAACCTGCACACAAAACAAACAAACAACCCAATGTCTTGAGGTAAACCCTAAGAACTCCAGAAAAAATATCAAGAAGTCTAATACTCCATAATGTCAAGGATAGTAACCAAATAGTCCAAGTATCATTAAATATTTTTATGGTTCATGTTGATTATTAGGTGTCTTCAAAAAGAAAAGAAAAGAAAAGATCAAGTGAGCAAAGTAAAAAAAATGACAAGAATGTAAAGGGGCTCAAGTGAGCAAAGATGAAAAATAGCATGAAATGGAATGCTTAAAGTAAATGGTACATAAAGCATAAAAAATAAAAGCATAAAGTAAAGTCAATTGTTAATAATTAGTGATTAGTTGGATGACCATCTTGGAACTTGCATTTGGAACTCATTAGAGGATTGGTAGAACCAAAGCCTCCACACAACAAGTTGCATTTACTTTTTGTCAAGTATATCATCCATTTTAGAATCCTCAAAAATAACATTTAATGATCAACGATGTTTAAGTGATATGCGTTGACCAAAATTGATGAGGATCCATTAGAGAATTGGTAGAACCAAAGCCTCCACACAATAAATCTCAAGGTTATTGGATCAAAGTGATCAAATTAACATACTTGGGCTTGCAAAGATAGGTTTGGGCCACGAATGATCATTTATTCGAATCGGGACAAAATTTAGAACTATGTTAAGCAATTGTAAGTGGACTTATATAGAAGTCGCACCTATTTAGAGGCCGGTCAATAGCAATCTATGCACTATTTATTTTTGAGACATGATATAGAGATCATGCTCCAATAACACTTAGTTCAATAAGAAAGGGGTGAGATAAAGAGGGGTGGAAAGAATATACAAACCACATTTGAATTAAATTTTAGTCAAACTATTATTAAAATTATTCATCCATTTTTATGGAGTTAGACTCAACACCATGAATCCAATGATGTTAACAAAGTTCATGATCAAAAATTCAATTCAATATCAGCCAGAAAATATACAAGAATTAAATTGTATTTTAAAATAAAAGAATAAGGGTTTAAAAATAGTTAAAAATGAAAATAATAGAGAAAAAAGGAAACTATGTTCAAATTAATCAAGAAAAAATAGGTAAGACCACAGAAAAATCAGAAATGGACTCAAATATTTTTATAAAATTTTTGGTAATTTTCTAAAGTCAGAAAATATTTTAAAATTAAAAGAAATAGGTAAAATAAACAAAAAATGATGAAAAATAACAAAGTTAGAAATAAAAAATAAATGAGGTCACCAATATTTGTCACAATATCATTGGATCATTCCATATTTTTTTTTAGAATTTAAA